GGGGGGGGGAAAGAAGGCAAACATTTAAAAAGATCTTATTACACGCTTAAAAAAAGAAAAGGTTTTGTCATCTCCTCCTGTCTTGCAGTGGGAATAATAAAAACAAGGCAAGTGTTCCCCAAAAACATTTCAATGAAGGGGTGCGGAAAAAAGACATCCCTTTAATAAAACATTATCAACAAATATCGTACACAAACTACAATGTATAATTATTACTCTTTTTTTTTTCTTTTTTTTTTTTTTTTAACTTTTTTCCCCTCTCGGTCATTTTCGAACCAGACTACAAGGTAAGAAAAAACACTGAAACAAGATACAATGCTTTCAATAATCTGCACAAAGGTCAAAAAAGCCAAGGGAGAGAAATATTTTACAGAATATGATATACACGGAGCTGGAGGAAAAAAAAAAAACCAAACCCAAAGACCAAACTACTACAGGGTAGTGTCAATGTACAGAGATCCCCCCCCCCTGCGCCCCCCCCTCCCCCCCCCGCCGCAAGGAAGGGCCTTCGCTGCTTGCCATGAACGTTTATTTTCTTATTACAGAGCGAGCCTACAGAATAGCAAGGTTACATTTTCTTTTTAACAACAAGAAGTCCTTAAAAAATATCTCCATCCAGTTCCAAACCATAGGTAAGTGAAACCCTGACAAGAGCACATCTCTAAAGAACTCCCCCCTCTGTAATATACCCCTAAAGCAAATACCCTCCCCACTGCCCCCCAAGAAACCCAACAAAAACAACCCCAAAGGTAGCTGGCGGTCACAGTTTGGAAGTCCCAGGTCAGATCAACCCTTGCAGTGGGTTTTAAAAAATAAAAATCGCAAATATTTTTAAAAAACAAACGCGATTTTTGCTCTGAACCAGCCGGGGTGGGGAAGGGAGGGCCGCGGGATGGGGCAGACTAACGCAGTGCATGCCACAGCCACAGAGAGCACGATGGGGGCTCGGCCGAGGATGCGATCCCAGGAGGGGTCACCTGCGTTAACCAGTTTAGAACTGGGTGGTGGAGTCTGTTCCCCAGAGCAGATCTTGTTAAGTGGAGGAGGAAGCGTTGAGCTGCAAACGAACCGAAAAGGCAAAAAAAAACCCCAACAAACCACCCCAAAAAAACAGGAGGGGAAAAAAACCAACAACCAAACAACCCCAAAGGAAAAAAGAAGCAACCCCCAAAAACAGGCCTTCTGAACGAAAACCACCATTGTAAACTGTCCAGTTTATTTAAAAAAATGACTACAACAGAGACAACATGAGATTTCATATCTAGACTAGCTTCCTGGTGTCGCACGGCACAAACATACAACAGGTTCGGTTTCTGTCTTTATTTAAAAGAACAAAGCAAAGAGATCGGAGTTGGGTGCTAGAGGCTTCCGTTTGTTTCCAAAAAGAAGTGTCATGTACATATATAAACCCTTCTGCACAAAGAAGGGTCTTGTCATGTCTTGAAATATTTGTAAGTTTTGTCCTTCATGTTTTATGGAATAAAAAGTTCGGCCTTTTTATTGCATGAAACTAAACCTGGGGGTTTGGCCCCCGCCACGTGTCTCCCTGCCCATACACCTAGCTTCTTCTTCGTCGTCTTCTTGCATAATTTGTCGAGATCCTCCGAACGGCAGCTGACTCTCTTGATCCTGGAGAGGAGGAGGGGGAGGGAAATCACACACTCATCGTCATGCTGGGGGAATACTGCAAGAGAGACAGAGCCAGGGTGAGAAACCAGGCGGGCCTGGCCCCCCCCGGACTGAAGAGGGGTGCGAAAGGAGCCCAATGACAACCGCACAGCAACCGAATGGCACCGAATCCATCGGGAGGAGAGGATACGCTGGAGACAGCAATTTATCGGGGTGTAATCTGCTCTGCAACTTGGAAATTAGCAGAACAGTATGGGGCGAGATGCAATTCGAAACAAATAATTAACACGCACGTGTGTACACACTGCGGACACAGGGAGAAGGGGAGGGATGTCTGCAGCCACGCACAGCGCCTTGATCCGGCCGGGCCACTACAACTGGATGCATCTGTGCCGGCTCCTCTTCACCACAGGATCCTCTCCCCTCCATCCCATGGCATCCTCTCCCCTCCATCCCATGGGATCCTCTTCCCTCCATCCCATGGGATCCTCTCCCCTCCAAACCATGGCATCCTCTTCCCTCCAACCCATGGGATCCTCTTCCCTCCATCCCATGGCATCCTCTTCCCTCCAAACCATGGGATCCATTCCTCTCCATCCCATGGGATCCTCTCCCCTCCATCCCATGGGATCCTCCCTGCTCCCTCGGTGTGTCCCATCCCACCAAGGACCCAAGCTTGCACCCCTCAGTGTACTTCCTGCCCCCCCTCTTTCTGTCCCCGGCGCAGCTCGCACACAGCACAACCCAGGCCCTAAAGGCACCCATCACCAAGCCCCTCCATGCTGGCACCCCCCCAGGGACCGTCCCTCCGTCCCCAGGGAGGCGCTCACTCACATTGTCATTTTGGAAGGAATGGAGAAAGTTGCCTCCCAGCTCCCCATCGTCTCTTGGAGTGCCCGGGGGATTGCTAATGCCACTTATGTTGTTTGGAGAATTCTGCAGGAGATGAAGGGGGGGCAGGTGGTGAGCAGGTCCCTGAGCTCCCCCATAACAACGTGGGGGCAGGATGCAGCCCCACCTCCCCCAGTCATTTCCCTCCCGACGTGTTCCCATCCATCAGGGTCACACTGGCATGCCAGTGCTAGGAAAAGCAGGGGGGTCATGCACCCAAATCTGTGGCTCACTTACTTTTGGAAGTCCATCTATGTCTCCTGACCCTAAGCAGGGGACACACAAAAGGAGAACGATGTTATTGAGCATGTAATGATGGCCCCTCTCCCCTGTGCACCACCAGAGCCCCACTTCCAGCACTGGTCCAAACCGGGGGCAGACCCCAAGATGGGCGCAGGCGCTGGGATGCTCTGTTAGCATCCCGGGGAACAAAGACCTCGTGGAAGTCCATCTATGTCTCCTGACCCTAAGCAGGGGACACACAAAAGGAGAACGATGTTATTGAGCATGTAATGATGGCCCCTCTCCCCTGTGCACCACCAGAGCCCCACTTCCAGCACTGGTCCAAACCGGGGGCAGACCCCAGGATGGGCGCAGGCGCTGGGATGCTCTGTTAGCATCCCGAGGAACAAAGACCTCGTGGGGGTCCCCGAACCGCAGCCTCCCACATAGGCGCTCACCTAACGATCCGTTCATGTGATGGGGCTCCATGCCGCCCATGCCGCCCATGGGGCCGTCAGAGCCGGGGCCCATTGGGAACTGCAGGAGAAAAAGACGACAAAACCAAAATCAGCAACGAAACACATCCGTGCCCCCTCCCCAGCCATCCAGGGGAAACGTATCCACCCCCCCACCAAGGCTGCAGGGCACATCCAACCCAAATTTAATGAGATTTAACTCCGGCCGTGTCCCACAAAACACAGCACGTCCCAGCTGGCCGGAGCAGCAGGGCGGCCGCTCTCTTAAGAAGCATAAAAAATTAACAAAGTCGCCGAAGAGTTAATCGCTTTTTGATGGTTTGTTTTATTTCTGTTTGGTAACAAATGGCTGAAATCAATTAAACTGCTTTACTCTCAGCTGATGAAGTTAATTATGATTTGTTATGGTATCTGATATGTAAATTATTAGGAAGCAGACTTACATTCGATCGACTGCCTGCGGGCGGTACTGGATTAATCATTGTGTAGATGTTGTCACTTGAATTTGTTGAATCTGTGGAACAGTGAAGCCCAGTAAGTCGGGTGATTAATTCATTTCTTAATTAAAACAAACTCATGCCACTTGAACTCATTCTTTTGTATTTTATCACCTAAAATTCCCTCTAAGTACCACCATTTTCTGCCTAATTTGTATTTAATGAGGATCCACAAAGTTTTTAATCACAGAAATTCCACTGTGAAAAATAATTTGACTCCTGGCTGGGAAGTGGGGGGAGGCAATTCCCTGCCATGTAACCCCCGTAGCACCCCACATCCATAGGGGGATAGAGGAACTTCCCCAAACACCACCCCAAAGCCAAGCAGCCCACACCACTCGCTTCCCAGCAAGGCAAGAGGTACATAAATCGGTTTTCAATGGTTGGGCAGGGGTTGCCAGTGCCCAGGGGCACAGCCTCAGGGATGGGGGTCTCCTGGCAGCAGAAAGGGCAGGAGCCTGGGAGGACTGGCCCCAGAGATGGGGGTTTTGGGGGGGTTCATACCTGCGGGACTGGGCATGATGGGTGTCCCTGGAGGACCACCACCGCCGGGCGGACCCTGTGGAGAGACAAAACAGGGGTCAGACGCACAAAGGAGAGCATCACCCACCTCCCCATGACATCAAACCCAGCCCAGCCCCCCCATAGCACCATTTCCCCTCCCCAAAACACACAAGCTCCCCAAACCCTGACATCTCTGCACCCCAGCATGGACAGACAAAGCAGGAGGACTCACCACGTATGTACCAGGCGATGAAGAAGAGTATGGGATCTGTAGGGAGAAGAGAGCCGGGTTCAGGCACGGGGGCTCCTGTGGGCTGGACCCCAGCAGGGCACAACCGAAAGCCTCCACCAACCCCCCAGCCTGGCCACGATGGGGGCCCCAAGGGCCCAGCAGCCCCCACGGCACAGGAGCAGAGTTTAGGCTTTAGACACTGTGCCTAAACAAGAGACTGGGGAAGCCCTGCTCGTTAGCAGGATTCAGCTAATGAGGAACGGCCTCATTTGCGGGACAGTCCCTGATCATCTCCCTCTTGGCATCAGGGATGTGGGATACTCACTGAGTTAGCACTGCTGGGGTTTGGCCACGGTCTGCCGGCTCCCGGCCCCCTGGGGTCAAAATTAAACGGGGGAAAACAAAAATAAAGCTGTGTTTCCATCTGTATGGTCCCCAAAAGCCCGAGCCAATGGCCAAGAGATCCCCCATGCGGGGTCTGCCTTACATGTTAATTCCAGGCATGCCGGGACCTAGGGAGTTGGGTGGAGGTCTCATGCCGCTACCGTAGTTCTGCAACGATAACCAAGGTTCAGTCGACCGAAACGGGAAGGGAAACCGGAGACGAGAAAGGGGTGGGGGACCACAAAAAACCCCAAGAAACAAAAATACAAGAGGGTTAGTTTGCAAAAATGAGCTTTTAAAAAATTAGATATAATATAGAATATCTAGAATATATAATATAGAATATATAGAATATAGAGGCAATTAGCAATTGTGTTTATAAAATAAACAGGTGGTTGAATATGGAAAGCAGAAAGGCTAAGCCTCAACGTTATCTACCCCCGTCTCTGATGCCGCACACCCCCTCCCAGCTCTAGCAAAAGCCTTTGGGGTTTATCTTTCTGTGCAGGAGAAAACAGGGGCAGAAGGAGAAAAGGTGGCATCGCTTGGAGGTTGCTGCTGCAGTGTAAGGACGGGAAAAGGCTGCAGAGCATCCCCTGCTCCCAGGATGAGGGCTGGAGCAAGGAAAACCAAGGCAGGGCTGTTCACCCCTTGGGGCTCAACTCCCAGCTTATTCCACCTCGGTTTAGCCTCCAGCCAGGACCAGGAGCCACAGATCCCCATCCCTCATGTCCTAAAGCCAGCTCCAGTACAAAGCCCAGCCGAAGGCAGCAAAGGAAGAGGAGTCCCCTGAACGCCGCGCTCCATTTGGTCTGCGCTCCCTGTGCCCTCCGGGCGACGCGCAGCCAGATTTAGGTCGTGGGGCCGCCACTCCTCCCCTCCCCTCCCACCTTCCCCCCGCGATGCATCATTTTGGGCTGTGTTTCTGCCATTTAGAGAAAAAATCGCTAAGGCGGGAGCGGGGGACAGCTGGCCGCTTCCTATTTCACAGCCCTTCAGAGTACTCCAAGCTGGATTTTAAATGCAGTATTTCAGTACCGTCAATTTTCCCCTGGATTTATGGACGCAGCAGAACGCGGCGCTCTGCTGAAGGCATTGTTGAAGTTTGTTTTGAAGAAGCTGAAGAGGGTTTCCCCCAAACAAATTACCAGCAAGTTCTTAATTGATCGAAATTCCAGCCATTTACGCTGAATAGCAGCATCAAACCCCTTGGTTTTTTGTTGTTTTTTTTTTAAAAAGCAGCAGCTCAGTGTTTTTAATTGGAGCTGAAAGGCTGGAAAACGAAGCCATCTGAAAGATGCTCAGGGAGGGCGGGGAGGGAATGCAGCTGTGCCAAGCGACCTGGATGCCGGGCTCCAGCAAGACGTCGCCAAAACCCAGCAAGCTCCAAACCCTCTTCACAGAGGCACCAGCAAACCCAATCCTGGCCTCTGCAGAGCTAAAACTGCGACTGTTAAAGGGAAAAAGGCAGAGGAGATCGGCTGCAAGGGATGATTCATCGCCGGTTCATAATAAGTAGCTGTTGTCAGGAGGCCGGGATGTCCTGGCTGGATGCTCTGCAGCCATTTGGGATAATTTAATATTTGGGAAGGTCCTGATGCAAAGCTTCAAGGAAAAAAAAACCCGCCCTGAGCACGCAAGGTGTGAGGGGCTGTGGGGCTTGGCCGGCTATTTTTGGTGGTCGCGGGCGCAGGCGCTGGTTCCTGGATGGCT